GCCCTCCCCCTGCTCACAGGATTTGATTGACAGCGGCAGAAGCTGATGGCTCCTGCTGCTGCCTCCGTGAGCAGAGAGAGACCTCTGTAGACAGGCACTGCACTGGATCGAGATAGGACTCAGATAAGTATAATATAGAGATGAGGGGCAACAGAAATACTGGGACATTTTTTCCCTTAATGCAGGGAATGCATAAAATTAAAAAATGTCCAGGCTTTAAAACCACTTTAAGGGCAAGTTCTGTGCAAAATAGTAGCACTATATTATATTCACACAAGTGTTTCCGTTAAGGTTGAATTAGAAAGGGACCATATGCAATTATAATACACTGCCTCTCAGGAACATTTGATCAGAGATGTTGAGCATCATTTCACATACATTAGATTCTTCCTATCCAGCTGAGAACTGACAGAAAAGTAGATGGTCATTTAATGTTTGCAGGCAGCTAGACAAGCTAAATCCACTAACAGTAGATGCTCCAACAGTATATATAAAGGCAGTAGAAAGACAGAGCACATGTGGAGAAGCAGAAAGTGTAAATGATGTCTTAATGGCCTACATACAGTACTTACAAGCAACAACAGTCAAATAATCCCTGCAATGTTTTTTTCTGCCTGGTAACTGGCTATAGTGACAATGCTATAAACAAAAAAGCAGTGTGTGTATATGTATGTACAGTATGTATACATATACATACACAAGCCACATCCACATCATAGTTATGTAGATAACAGCACAATAAGTTAGAAAGACACAATATTTCTGCTTGCACCCTTGCCTGAAAAAGTGCACTACAACCTGAAGATGGCTATCCAAAGAAAAGGCATTGGTGTCGGCATCAAGAGTTACATTATCACAATCTATTCTTTGTAGTTTCTCATTTTTAAATAACAGAAAAGGCAACAAGTTCTATGACCTTGCATATTATATCACACACAATTATAACCCTCAACTATTCTAAACCAAGAAAAATTGTTAATCTGAGGTTTCACTTTAAATACTAACCAAACATTCACCACCTCTACAATTCCAATTTGGATTAAAAAAAGTATGCAGTACCCCACTGATGTAACACACAGGGAAAGGAAATCTGGAGAAAAACCTGAATGAAAAATTGGATATTTTGTTTTGTTCAGCTAGTGATGAAAAGATAAAACCCGATTAATGGCTGTGGGCATTGGTTTCAATGTTGCTACTTTATATTTTTATAATTTGTCTTTTTTTTTTATAAGACCGTGCTCGAAGAATAAGTTAGGCTCAATCAGGTCAATTACGTCCTGTTTTTTTTTTTTTTTTACTTTAGCTTCTCTAAACTTAGGTCAGTAGCTCTGGTATTCAGCCTTTGGATGTTAGTACATTTGCAATTAATATGGGAGCAACCCTGACTCTTGTTACCAGAGCCCCTGCGTGACAACTGCAATCTAGAATTTAGGCTGAAAGTGCCAAATATCCAGGAAATGATTGTATGGCTAATGCCAGTTTGGCAGCTCATTTAGCACATGCCTCTTCAACAAAATAGGAAATGTAATTAGGTTAGATGTACTGACAAATTCTGAACATATCACCTCTCTAGACGTCATTTTTTCCCCCAGTGGTTTCAGTGCTTTCAATGACCTGGAACAAATATGCAGATTAGGAGCTCAAATTTACTTTGACTTTCCATTTCTACCATGAATCATATAATACTGGTGGCTGTATGACGCCTTCAATTAATCCCTACCTTCACTACGAAGGCACAATGGGTACCTCACTATATCAATGTTCTGTCTTTCCCCAAGAGAGCACCACCAAAGCTTCCCTAAAGTCCACATATCCTCTCCCACAGGGAAATAAATACTCATTGCTTGAGCACTGCCAGATGAAACACGTACCAAAGTCTGTACATTTAGGAGCTCCAATGATACGCTGTGAGGGGCACAGAAGATATGGTTAGGCAACGTATTCTATTCATCATTACACGTGCTTTGAATTTTATAGGTCCTGTACAGGGTTGCTTTAACATCTACTCTTGAAGGTATCTACAGAAATTTGTAGAAATTAAGCTGCCCATAGATGGATCGAAATATGGCCAGTTCAACAGAGATTGAATGATTGATTTCTGTCAGATTGGACAGTTGGATAACTTGTTGATCGGCAGGCTTACAGCCACTGATCAGTGTATTCTGATAGAAAACAAGTCCCACTGTCAGAATACAATGGCACACAGGGGGGAAACCTTCATCCAGCTCACTTGTGTAGATGGGGGAAATCAGTTTTTTTCGATTGGCCAATGGGCTGATTGCAAAAAAAAGCAAAGGAACCTTCTATGGCCAGCTTTGCAAAGGCTATATACACACACCACAACTACTGATGAAAAAGAGATTTAAGTTCTTGATTAAGGACTTGAACCATAAAATGCCTTGAGACTGAAGGTACGGAGATATCTGACCATTTCAGTATGGTGGCAGCTTCCACCACATATCATGCTACAAGAATCTTCTGCACTTTCCTCCCCACTGACCAGGTCACACCAGGGCTTGTCTAGAAAGTTGGAAAATCTTTGCAAGTCATTATTAGCACTTACAATACTGAAAGGCTTAACAAGCCCTAGATATAGTCATACCTTCACCAGTGTCAGAGTGGTCTGTCAAATCTGAGTGTATAGTGCAGATTGTGGCAAACCAAAATCATGAAACATTTTTGTCATCAGCCATTTTTCAGGGCCTGGCAAGCCTTTGTTTATGTTCTCATACAAGTCTGAGAATGTAAAACCTGCTTAAAGCAGGCCAAATACAAGTCAGAAGGAAGTCAACTGCAGGTCAAATGCACCCATCAATGAATCCTGAATACTTCTCAGAAGTGTCTCAAACAGATGGCATTGACACAGGCCCTAAGGAAATCAAAGCCACTGGAAATGTGTTTAGATGTGGATACAAAATTTCTTCTTCATTAACATTATTTTCACTCCCCTCAATTTTCTATGAAAACTACCTACATATGCATAAATGTCGTTAACTACTTTTTAAATATAAACTGATTAATGTTCATTTTTAAAAATGGCTTTTAAAAAAAAAACAAAGTTACTAAAATGTCCCGTTTCAGTCTAAATGGCCACCCCAAATATCCAGAGGTTTCTTTATCTTGCAGCCATGGCAATAGTACATGACTTGAAGACAGCTATTTTTTTTAGGATCTGGCTTTTAGAACGGATCAAAAAAAAAAAAAAAAAAAAAAAAAATTGTAGGCAGCCACTGCAAATTCTTGCAGTAAATTTAATCTTTGGTAAGATAATTGCAAAGAATACCATCTACATACAAAAATGTCAAGGGGGCGGGGGGGACGGGGACACAGATGTTGATTTATGAAAGAAAAAAAAAGGCTGTTCAGCAAGAGGATTTTCACTTTGCAAGGGAGTTGCCCTTCGCGTACTGAATGTGGTAAAAAGTCACTTGCAAAAAATATCCAATTACATGCAAGGGAAAAAAAAAAAAAAAAAAAAAACACACACTTGTATATGATTGAATGATGGAAGTCAGCAGAGTTTCAACTCATTCAACAAACTAAGGGAACATTTCCTTGCAAAGTGAACAGCCTATTTGCCTTTAGTAATCAACCCCACAGTTTCGCATTACAGCGCCAGTCATTTTAGAGGACAGACCCACCTGCTAAGCATCCAACATCTACAGAAAAAGGAAAGGTAGACATGTGATAAAGGTTTTCAAAGTTCTTTGCAATATATATAGTTGACCTGCAAGGGATATTGTTTCTTAACAGACCTGGAGTTTCCCGTTTAGAATCAAACATAGCCAGCATAAAACTGGTTTACAGCCAACTGTGGATGCCGTAAAGCCAAACAGCTCTAGTAAATTTTTCTAACAGTTCTGTACCCAAAGAGCAGCCGACCAAGTGAACTGCACTGTAGGAACTTTGCAGCTAGGCAGTTAATAAAATAAAAGGTGCGCACAGGTTGCTTTCACCATTTCAAAGCATTATGATACATTTGTGTGTCTTAAAAATGTTCAATTCTCTTTCACCATCTTACAAAGAAACATATTCTAGTTAGCACATAAAAAAAAAAAAAAAAAAAAAAAAGACCACTGTGTTTCCTTGACGTTATATGTGTGTCCAGCGCTGTCCCTCCAGTGCACAATGGGGAGGAGTCCTAGAAATGAGAGCATCCAGTCATCACACCAGTTCCATGCAAGATCTCAAAAACAGGGACTTATTTGGCGGTTCATCATGGAGAGCTTCTTCACGATCCTATAGAACACTACTCGCATGCATCTGCAGAGATCTGCTTTACTGCAGAAAAGGAAATTTAACATTGGATTTCCACAATGCAGAAACAGATGGTAGGAACAGCTGACAGTCATAAAATGTAGGAAACATACATTCAGTTGTTGTTATCCTCATGTGCCCGTCTCACCAACTTAACCCAACAGGCTGAAAGGCCAATAGGAATTCACGATTCTTCAGCCTGGCATCAAAATTCACATTATCAACGACACAACAACAGAGCACAACTGTGGGAGATCACATTACAGGAATAATAATGCCACAGACTCTTAGCTCAAGCCAGGCCACATTGGGGGATTATGATGGTGTACTACAAAGCATTTCTCTGCTGGGCGTATTTAGAAAGAAAAATGGCAATGGGTTTTGTTCAAGCAGAAGACGACTGACTTGTTGAGAGAGCAATGCCATGCTTGGTCGTGAACGGTGCAAAATAAATAATTGTAATAAAAATTAATTATAATAATCTCAGATTCACGTTTGTTCAAAATAATCCAAAGGATTCCTCAAAATCTTCTCCCAAATTATCTTCTTCCTCTACGTCAGTGTGGGCAGAAGGTCCTGTCCATGGTCACTGTGGTTGATAAAATGCTGACAGAGAAGGTACTGTAAGATTCAATAGCCCTACAAACAGCATGCTATAGTTCAAGGGGCAAGTTTTCGCGCGAGAGACAAGTAGACATTTTCAGGCACCAACCAGACGGGGCCATGTAGCGCTTAAGTGGAAACTACACCAGCTGGTAACCTGAGCCTGATGTTTGGTCATACTCTATTGTGTACTGCCTTGTCCAGTCCACAGCAACAGGGCGGAAGAGGCCACAGCATCTGAACTCAAAGAAGTCTATGATATTTCTGATACATCCATGGCTGCAATAGAAAAGTTCACAGTATTACAAAATAAACATTACAAACAGCATTTGACTATAAACGGTTACAATTTCCTGTATTAAGATAACCTACATATAAGCAGTACAATTGTGTATACCAGGGGTCTCCAAACTTTCTAAGCAAAGGGAAAGTTTACTATCCTACAGAGTTTAGGGGGGGCGGACCAGAAAATGACCCGGCATCAGTGGGAGTAAACAATGTCCCAGCTTTGGTGTTAGTGAGAGGAACTGTGCCTCGATGGTGTCATTGGGAGAAATTGTGCCCAATCATTGGTGTCATTGGGCCCTATTCTTGGTATCATTGGAATGAACTGTGCCCCATCATTGGTGGGAATTGTGCCCCATTGTTGGTATCATTGGGAGGAATGTGTTGGTGTCAGTAGATTAAATAGTCCCCCAAGAGCCAAATAAAAGTAAGTAAAAGGGCTGCGTCCGGCCCACGGGCCACAGTTTGGAGGCCACTGCTGTATACGATGAAGAAAAAAATAATTCACTGGTCAAAACACAGAGTATGGGTTACCAAATAGCACGAACTGAAAAGTAAACAATCTTCATCCAACATGTTTGGACGAATGGTGCATGGTGTAATACAACTCCCTAGAACACAACACGCATGCTCCACCCATGTGCTCATGTAAGTGTCTATGATAAATACTTCTGGATCCTACAGATTCACCCTAGGTTCACACCTAAGCGTTTTCTGTAGCGTTTTGCAGAAACGCAGTATAGTCCATTTAACATGATTTCCTATGGGACATGTTCACATCTGTGCGTTTTCACCCGATGCGTTTTTTGGAAAGGGTTAGGGACTTTTTTTTTTTTTTTTTTTTTTTTTTTAACACCAACATTTGCGTTTCTGGTTCTATAGACTTCAATGGAAATGCTGCAGAAAAGCATGTATTGCGTTTTGACGTGTTTTTGATGCATTTTAAAACTGCCTAGCAACAAGAAGAAGAAAAAAAAAGCAAAAAAAACGCATCAAAAACACAGGTGCAAAAATGAAACGCAAAATGCAATGCAGAAACAGCACCTGCATAGGTGTGAACCAAGCCTTAGTCAGCACCAGGCAGCCACTATTATACATATACATAGTTAGTCTGGCTGAAAAAAGACAAAAGTCCATCCAGTTCAACCATTAAAAAAAAAAAAAAGTTATAAACTTACACCCACAGTTGATCCAGAGGAAGGCAAAAAAACCCAGCAAAGCACGATCCAATTTGCTCCTGCAGGGAAAAAAATTCCTTCCTGATCCCCAGAGAGGCAATCGGATATTCCCTGGATCAACTTTACCTATACATGTTAGTATCCAGTTATATTCTGTGTATCTAAGAAAGAATCCAGGCCTTTTTTAAAGCAATCCACTGAGCTGGCCAGAACCAACTCTTGAGGGAGTCTATTCCACATTTGCACAGCTCTTACTGTGAAGAAACCTTTCCGTGTTTGGAGATTACATTTCTTTTCCTCCAGACAGAGTGCCCCATTGTCCTCTGTGATGACCTCAGGGTGAATAGCTCTACACTATATGAACCACTGATGTATTTATACATGTTGATCATATCCCCCCTTAATCTCCTCTTCTCAATGTGTGGATTCGAGGCACCACAGACATCTTAACCAACTCAGCTAAGCCTGCCTTTAGACACAAGATCATCTTGTACCATGTAACCTCAAGCAGAAATCTTAAAGGACAAGTTCACTTTTTGGAACGTTACACCTATATTCAGGTTGTAACATGTTGCGTAAGGACAGCCCCTGCTGTCCAGTTGTGATGGCTAGCGGGAGAATTTCTCCCCCCATGCTAGCTGTCACAATTTAAAAAAAGGGGGGCTGTGCAGGGCTTCACCCACCCGGCTGGCTGTGTCACTCAATCACAATATTCTGTGAATGAGAAATCTATAAGTTCCGATAGCCTTTGTGGCTGTCAGCTTGTAGTTCTCAATGAACTAACACGGCACTGTGGAGCGCTCTGGTAGTCCATTGATTTTTCCCATCAGGGGTGTATTGCCTTGCCTGTTCGAGGTACGAGCAGACAGAAGACATTTGATCAACAAAAAAGTTTTCCTTCGATTTCTCAAGGATGTTGGGCAGAAGGGTGGCGATTGGACCACCCACAAAGCAAATGCTGGCTGGTTCATTAGAAATGTACCAGGAGTGTGTGGCAAGCTGAAAGCCAGATATCAAACAGGCAGAACTATAGGAACCCCTTGCTATTTAGCACACTTGTTGTCTAATCAGCTTGCAGCAAGTGGTGGAAGCAATAGATTCCAGGCAACTTTAGTTGTGTAGTTCAGAAACTATAGCATTGAGGTGCACAGCCCGTCTATTGTGTGTAAGGCTACGTTCACACTAGCCTTGTTAGCAAGCAGCAGACAGGCGTTTAGAAAGCGTTTTTAAAGTTTCCCAAACACCTGGGAAAATTCTGCACATTGCATAGTGCTGTTCAAACGGGAGCGTTAGCGTTGTGGCAAAACGGACACCTCTGGTCGAGTCAAGAGGAGTTGAAGCCCCCTATTCAAGTCTATGGTGCCGCTCCGCATACGCCCGGCCGGCATTTGTGGTGCAGTTGCGAGGCGTTTGCGGAGCGGTAACACCATTCAAACTTCATTATAGGCATTTGTGGGGCATTTTTAACGCTTGGCAAATGCCTAGCAACCGCCGCTAAAACGCGCATGCGGCGTTTGCGGAGCATAAAACGCTCCGCAAATGCCGGACCAACACTTGTCAAACACTATAGGGGCGTTTGGCAAGAGTTGGAAAAACAGTCAAGTGTGAATGAGCCCTACATGTCCTAAAGGACTTTACTTAAACCACCAGGATGTTTCTATACATATTCAATTGTTTCACCTGCCATGTGCATCCCTGTTAGGACCTACTTGTCAGCTAACATCCCAGTCTGCTAGCAGCAGGCATCTAGAGTGGAACCTTCATATAAATGATCACAGCAACAGCCAACCTAACATTGTTAAATTGATACAAAGTTGCATGGCTGAAATCCCTGTCCAATGGAGTTTTTAGTAAACTCAACTTTTTTTGTAATAATTTTTTAAATTAGCCCCTAATTAATTGTTTTTATTAGCCCCTAATAAATTATTTTTTTTAATTAGTCCACAATTCCCACCCTACTACCTTTTCCTGTCTCAGCTATTTTGTTTTGCCTGTGCCTTATTATACCACTTTTTTCCTGGTTACCTCTGTAGCTGTGTAATTTAGCCATCTTTACTGAATTATGGCTGCAGTTTTCATTTAGGATTCTTGACTCAGCCACACACTAGGGCATATGATCGTACAGAGTAAAATACGCCTGTTTTGGCGCCCAGAAGCCACAGCTGCAGCATAATTTTGCCCATTAACATTCATTACAGAATATGCAGCGCACGACTCTACGTGCAGAACCACTAGTATTCACATTAAGACATGCATGTGTATGGGCGTATTCTTTTAAAACGTAAAAATTTTACATTTTGAAACCTACACCCACACACAATCAAATTCGAGTGCTGGTGGTGGTGTGAGTATAGTACAGCATTTTCTGTAATGCACGTCAATAAGCAAAATGACCCTACTGCTGCGGCTCCCAGGCTCCAAAACAACAAGTGGGTTTTTACTCCTAACGTACAGCCATGTGACAGAACCCTTAACAGCCGCTTCCCAATACAGTACGTATATAAATTCAATCCTATAAACAAGCTAATTCAGAAACAAACATGCATATACATATGTACATAAAATATGTGCGAAACATTAGATTCCTTTTTAAGCTGAACTCTAGGCATACTTAGAAAAACATGCAGTTACGTGTTCAATAAAATCATTGCATGTATTTTAACGCCTCCCGGCCCTTTAAGAGTTTCAGAAGCCGGGAGGCAGGGCGGGGTTTTAGGGTCATATGACTGCCATAATTCGCTGTCACGGCAGCCACATGATCGGAAAAGGTCCCACTCAAAAGGGGAGATCGGGACCTTTCCATGAGTCACGGTCATCTGTGCTGGGAGCACAGAGGGCATGCGCTCTCAACACATATGTATTTTCAAATGGTAGGCAAATGTGTGGCTGCTCAGCGTCAAGGCCCAGATGCCGAGAGGCCACATATTTGCATGTGCTCGGCATCTAGGGGTTAATATAATTACATGAAACTATCTTTTATTAAGCCAGGCATAGACTTGAATTTCGGACAACTGCTGAATCTGCCAAAATTTGAGCAATGGGTGGCTCTGCAAGCACCTCCCAGTTCAGCAAAAGTTGAAAAAAATTTTTTTTTTTAAAAAATTGACTGAGGCAGGTGGAGAAAATTGTTGTCTCAACAGTGAGTGTATGCCACTTGATGCAGTCAGTGATAAGATGCATCAGCTGTTAGTGTGGACAGGGGAATCGACTGCTTTTTCACGTGTGGCCAGTCTAAGGCTTCTCGTGTGGCCAGTCTAAGGCTTCTCGTGTGGCCAGTCTAAGGCTTCTCGTGTGGCCAGTCTAAGGCTTCTCGTGTGGCCAGTCTAAGGCTTCTCGTGTGGCCAGTCTAAGGCTTCTCGTGTGGCCAGTCTAAGGCTTCTCGTGTGGCCAGTCTAAGGCTTCTCGTGTGGCCAGTCTAAGGCTTCTCGTGTGGCCAGTCTAAGGCTTCTCGTGTGGCCAGTCACGTGTGGCCAGTCTAAGGCTTCACGTGTGGCCAGTCTAAGGCTTCACGTGTGGCCAGTCTAAGGCTTCACGTGTGGCCAGTCTAAGGCTTCACGTGTGGCCAGTCTAAGGCTTCACGTGTGGCCAGTCTAAGGCTTCACGTGTGGCCAGTCTAAGGCTTCACGTGTGGCCAGTCTAAGGCTTCATTTTTTTTGCCAATGCTCCTAAACTCAACTCCATAAAACAAATGTGTCCATGAACACACAGGCTTTTAGCAGAGTTTAGGAGCTGTCGCATTCAGGTGAGGTTAAACAGACAGGTGACAGAATCACATTTAAGATAGGAACGCTTTGACCGCTGGCAGTGGGAAAATGCGGAAAACAACGCATGTAAACTTTGTACACCGCATTTACACACATTTTCTGTTTCTGCTGTCAGGGTTGGCTAGTGTACATGTATCCTAAAAGCCATCGTAAAAATAATATACCTGTTATACTTGCTCTGTGCAATGGTTTTACACAGAGCAGCCCCATATCTGCTCTTCTGGGGTCCCCAGTCAGCGATCTTGGCTCCTTCTCTTCTGGATGCCCCTATAGCAAGTTGCTTGCTTAGTCCTCATGCACACTTAACGTTTTTACAGCTGCTGTTTTTGGCTTTTGACTTTCTTCTACAGCTAGTAAACCACCCCCGCATGTTATCCTATGTGTCCCTGCACACAGACTGCAATCAACATTTTTTGGCTGGGAAGTTTTTTGGCTGGAAAAAACCCCCAGGACTAGTGGGTTTCTAGAGGAGTTTTTTTTTTTTGCTGAAAAAAACCGCGGTTTAAAACGCAGTACCCTGCTGCAAACCGGTGTTTTTTTACTCTTTTTTTAACCCAAAAAATTTTTTTTGGTAAAAGAAAAAAAACGCAAACGCGGAAAACACTAAAATGCCAATGCAAATACACTAAAAAAAGGCTGAAGAACTGTTTTTAACGTGACTTTACACAGCTAACGTTACCAGCGTTATCAAAACGTCCCGTGTGCATGAGGACTTATAGGGGCACTCCTGCAGGCTCGAACCCGAGCTGGGCTGTAGACACACAAAGCGCTGCTTGGCCCCACCCCCTGCTCCCTCTGAGAAGAGAAAGGGGAAAAGAGCTGCTGCAGATGGCCACAGATTGAGCTCAGGGTAGTGTTTAGGGGGAAGAAAATTTTTAAAGTTTTTTTTTTTTTTTACTTAAATGTAGAGTGTATTAAGATGAAAACCTTTCAGCCTTTAGAACCATTTTAAGATGGCCATATACTATTAGCCTGCAGGCTGAATGTTAAAAAAGAAAAAAATCTTAGGTTTCCTCCATGCAAGCTAACAGGGCAGATGAATCTCCGGTTGCAGCTATTGTATTGTGAGAGCTGGGTTCAGCAACTGGAGAAATACCTGTAAAAGTGTCTGCATCAGACTGGATACAGGCAGGGGTGGACTGACCATTTGGAAACTCAGGCACTGCCCGAGGGCCCGGGGTCAATAGGGGGCCCCATGAGATGCCCCTGGTACCTTTTTCATAGGCTTTTTTTAGTTTGGGCAAGGACACAGGGGCCCCATGATCCCCTATTGCCCGGGGGCCCCATGAGTTGTCAGTCTGCCCCTGAAGACAGGTATTGTGTGGCCGACAATTTTTTTCAATCGAAGGAGGGATGTTGGCAGACAGGACCATCCACTCTACAAACTTTTGGCCACTTCATGAAAAAAATGTCCAAAATTGCAGCGTATGGCCTCCTTTAGTCTCTAGTACAGCAGCACTAAGACTGAAAAAGCACAAGTGAATACTTAGAACCAACTGCAAGCACATGTTCTGACAAAAAACATGCTGCAGAAGATGGCAGGGAGTGATGTGCTGCTGCTGTTCCTTCGCTGTCCAATCACAGGGTACAATTCTTTAATAGGTAAACAGCATGATTTAATAAGTAATAAGTATTTCAAATACATATTTAATGATTTGCCCATAGTTCAGCTTTAATGGAAGCTGTGCCCCAACTGCACAAACTGGAATACAAAACTGTCTAGTAAAAAAATCATGTGTTTCCTTTTCCTGTGATTATGCTGGAGAACAAATGCAAAATCTTACTTGAAAGGGCTTTCGATGGATGTGGTTGTGACTTTGAAGTGTTTATATCTCCTGGCGTTCATCCGTTCATTTGTTGTAATACCCAAGCAAGATATCTGTAGAAGGGACCAAACACTTAAGAGCGAACACAGTTCTAGGCACAGTCCAACAGCAGTCATACAATCCCTACACAGACTGGTACTGCTCACAGTACAAAGGACTCTAACAGTGAGTCAGGCGAGGACGGCTACTTCTACCTGCTGTACATCTCACCAACTATTTCACTGGCATAGTTTGCAGCTCCCCCTTCTCTGTCTCCATACCATTAACAATGCTCCCGCAGTAATGCTAGTCTCCTTGTGAGGATGAGAAAAATTAATAATAGCGCCTATGGTCAAAATTATATAACTTACTAATAGTGTACCAGCTGCAAAAAATCACCATATATAAAGTGTACCAATAAATAAATAATTTGCGCTAGTAAATGTGTATAAATATATAAATGTATATAAAGAAATCATCAAATCATAAGTCCAGAAAAAAAATATATATATGCCAATACCACAAAAAAATATAAAAAAAACTTTTAAGTGCAAAAAACTTTTTTGTGCAAAAAAAGTGTCTAAATATGAAAAATTTCACCAAAAAACCTTGATAATATAATGGCAGATCATCCATAAATATATCTTCAGAAACGGAAACTCTGCAACACACCGATCCTCATCGATCGAAATAACAGGATGAAAAACTTTGTAGTTAATCGAAAATCCACTTCTCCAATAGATAAAGGACCACCTTCAAACGTATCCATGGGGGGAAATGCCAAGCACTCGAGAGAAACAGAAAGACTTCATGGTGCAATATTATAAAAACCAATTCCTTTATTAGGTACTCATTGCACTTACTCAAGAGGTGTCCCAGCCGACACCAGCATCAACAGCATAACAGCAATCACATAAACGAGCCTGGCTACTCAGCACATGCGCAGTAGCTGGCAGCCAAAAAACGTAATGACGTCACATCAATCAAGCTCCGCCCAAAAGTTTTTTGCACTTAAAAGTTTTTTTATATTTTTTTGTGGTATTGGCATATATATATTTTTTTCTGGACTTATGATTTGATGATTTCTTTATATACATTTATATATTTATACACATTTACTAGCGCAAATTATTTATTCCTTGTGAGGATGACCCGATCATCTGACTTTGTAGTATATATATTATATATATATATATATATATATATATATATATATATATGTATGTAGTTGGCCACAACTGCATATAGAGAGTGATTCTACCCAAAAATATGTCACAAAATCATCTTAAGTAGTATATATATTTTAGAAAAGGGAGATGGCTTGTTAGATATACATTTTCATTGAAGCTCACCTGACAAAGACTCACTTTCATTATTATCATCATCAAGGATCATTACTGAAATATAAATCTGAGCAAACCAGGCCTACCATCTAGGAAAAGCTTATGAAAACCTAATAGAGGCGTACCTCCATTTACAAATTTAATTTGTTCTGCTGGACTTTTTGTATTCGTAAACCGAAACGTGGTTTCCCATGGAAATGCTTTGAAAACCAATTAATCCATTCCGGAGGTCAGAAAAAAGTAAAAAAAAACAAAAACAACAAAAAAAGAAGAAGTCTATCTGTTCAAAACTCTTTAGAAAGTGCACTTTAACTACTTCCCGACTGGCCCATGTACGTAAACAGCAGTGCAGGAGAGGGTGGCTGTTTATAAACGGCCCCCGCATTTACTGCCTGTGTGCGCTCCCTGGAAGCACGTGGCACCATAGGACATAGCGGAACACCGATCGCTGTACGGGACCTCTGTGTGAGGTCCTGATTCATGTGATCACTAATTGACCAATCAGTGATCACATGTCACTTCCTGACATCATTGCTTACTACTTGTGAAATCTGTGAATTTTTGGTTATAAACTAATTTGGGTTATTTTTTTTTTTTTTGTTACTAAAAAGATAGCTGAATACAGTTTGGCCAAGATTTATGAAGATTTTTATTTGCTAAATTTTATAAGAAAACATTTTTTTTTCCAAAATGTTTGGGCTTTTTCAATTATATAGCAAAAAAAAAATAAAAACCCCAGTGGTGAATAAATACCACCAAAATAAAGTTTTATCTGCCTCAAAAAAATGCTAAAAAATTCATATGGGTACAGTTTTGCATGACCGCACAACTGTCATTCAAAGTGTGATAGCGCTGAAAGCTGAAAATTGGCCTGGACAGGAAGGGGGTGAAAGTGTCCAGACTTGAAGTGGTTAAAGGCATAAAGGGACATAATTAAAAAAAAAAAAAAAAAATTGTAAATGCATTGAAAACCAATTAGTCCATTCTGGAGGTCAAAAAAAAAAGTAAAAAAAAGTTTCATCTATTCAAAACTCTTTATATAGTGCACTTAAAAGGCATAGTACTGTGCAGGGACAGGATTAAAAATTTTTTGTAAATGCATTGAAAACCAATTAATCCGTTCGTATTGCAAAAAAAAATTGTAAACCGAGCCATTATTTTCAATGGATTTTCATTTGTAAACCAAAAATGACATTAACAGAGGCGTTTGTAAACCGAGGTACGCCTGTATATTTATAACAAGAGACCCAGAAAAGTGTGTATTACCTGGTACATCTGACACATCAGTAACACAGCCACCCACATTAAATGAAACACGCTGTTAAGGAACATCCAGAACATCCATGGGGAACAGGTAGCAATTTGTGTAACATATGTCCAGAAGCCGTCCTTACTGTACGTTGTTTCACAGTGTATTCCCCAGTCTAAGGAAACAAAATATTCTATTCAAATAAACATATAAGATCATATCATACCTAGGGAATCAAAATCAACTTTACAACTGGATGTCAGTTTTGCTACGTGGCTTTACAGATGGGTTTAACCCAGGGCATTCAAAATGTAATCTGTGTATAATGAATAAAACATTATATAACATCTTAACAGATTGTGCTGAAAAACAACAATACCTACTTTCATCTGCATTAGTCATAGGATGGCACAACGAATGGCAATCTCTGCATAAAAATACAGATTTGATCTTTCTGCCCTCTCCCTCCCCACTTTTTTTTCTTTTCTGTGCCCCCCCCTCCCTTTTTTTTAAATTTCTTTTATTGATGACTGATCATTTAGCCCTCTGCTGGATTACTGCTGTATTACAGGCTGTATAACCATTTTATGTGGTGTGATTTTTTTTTTTTTTTTTCTTTTTTCTATACTGGCTATAGGGGAATTGTAGTTGTGTGTTTTGACACCTGGGCTTGCCTGGCAGTCCCTAGTCTTTTGACCCCTTTAAGCAGGCCATAGACGGGGAGAAAACCGGCTGTTTTTTTTTTTTTAAAAACAAAAAAATCGGTCGTTCAATCAGCAGACATTACCACTATTCATAAAAAAAAGGTCGGCTGATTTTCATCCCGTCCTACGGCCAGCAATTATATAGAATATATGCAGAAGAAGAAATAGAATATAAAGAAGAAGAAATAGAATACAAATAAAAAGAAGAAATAGAATATGCAGAAGAAGAACAAATAGAATAGGAATAAAAAGAAGAAAGAATACAAATAAAAAGAAAAATAGAAAATGCAGGAGAAGTAGAAATAGAATATGAATAAATAGAATATGCAGAAGAAGAAGAAGAAGAAGAAGAAGAAAAAGTTGCAACATTGTATCTATTTGTATCCATTTCGGATACAGATGTTTCTATTTGGATACAAATAGATACAATGTTGCTATACTTTTAAAGGTCAAATATAATATCGGACTGATTTTCTATTTTTTTCTTCTTCATATTCTATTTCTTCTTCGTTTTATTTCTTTTCCTTCATATTCTATTTCTTCTTCATATTCTATTTCTTTTTTCTTATTCATATTCTATTTCTTCTTCTTTTTCTTCTTCATATTCTATTTCTTCTTATTCTTTCTTGATATTCTATTTCTTCTTCTTATTCATATTCTTTCTTGATATTCTATTTCTTCTTTTCTTCATATTCTATTTATTTTTTTTAAAATCAACAAAAAGGTCGGCCGATTTGTCCATAATTGCCGCGAAAATCGGCTGAACGACAAAATCGGCCGATGATCTTCCAGCAGGGGCAATTTTTTATAAGTCTCAAAATCACGAAAAACGGCCGAAAAATTTCCCCAGTAACGATCCGAATATCGGCCGATTTTTTTTATCGGCCGAAAATTCGGCCACTTTATCGCAAGTCTATGGCCCGCATAAGTCTGATGGTTTCCCGCTATGCGGACATCTATTGCACAGATTGTTTGAGATGCTATACGGTATTTTCTATGCAATGATATAAGATGTATTTATAACTATGCACTTTGCCTGCGTTGTAAATTATATTGTGCCTTGGCAGGGCCTACAAGAATTGTTGTAGAATGGTTTCTTTGTACTGTTTTTTATTGCAATACTAATATTGAAACAGAAAAATACATATTTTAAGTAATTTCCTTAATAGGTAAAGTAGAATGGATACATTTCAATCTCTCAATCTATTTGTACTGCATATCTTTGTTAACCCAGAGCACAGAACAAATTCTTACATGAAATACAACCATAGATCATCCAGCAGATCATGCAAAGCAGAAAAAACAGGTATCCCATGAAATAACGATGGTTTCCTGCACCTAGAAGTCGCAGAAAGAGAATGTTAGTCGCTCAGGCTTTGTTTATAGCGAGCAAAACAAAGAGCTAAAAACCACCAACATATAACATCTGACATACTCAGTGTAAAATAAGAAGAGAGATTATACTAAACAATATTTTACCTTGATAAATATGTATTATAGTACATATATGTTCAAAATAAAGTATTTAAAAAATAATTTTTATTATTAACAGTATTTGTTAATGAAAAAAAGCTTTTCAAGCACATTTTGCTCCTTTAACATATCCGGCAAAATCAATTACATCTGCAAATGCAATCTTTAACCTTTTTAAATTTCTGGCACTCTTCCCCTAAAAACTCTACCAAAAAGCTTAACCTGATAAATGTACCTGAACTTATCAAGCACAGAACTAGCTAAACCCCCCAAAAAAGTATTGAAAACTATTAAATGTGCGTGATCATGCCCCCCAAAACAAGGATCAAGCACAGCTAGAGGGATCAGAGGGATGCCTTGGATTGCAGGCTGTCTACCTCATCTCTCCCACTCCTCAGAATTTGTATTCTTTTATATTTAGCTATCAGCTTTCGTTGTTTCCAGGAATGATTTACACTAAAGAAATTCTGATATTAAAACTAAAAATCGCCAAGTACACATCAACTAGATATGAGGAGGAATATTGTCAGATATTCTTTTACATTTAATACGTTTATCATATTTTGATCTCGGAATGATACAATTGAGTTGCACGGCTTAAAGCGTTAGACTTTATTAAATTACAGGTCCAGGATAATCAAATATTCAGAGGAAGTGAAGGGATAGGGGTTGAGAAATGTGACTGAAAGCCTTGTGTGCCCTCAGCTGCCCTTGCTTCTAAAAAGTAAGAATTACTTGGCTTCCTTCTCTAGACCTTGCTGCTATGACAGGGTATCAGACGATTCTTAATATACGTCTATGGTGAATACTCTTGGTTAAAGTGGTTCTAAAGCCTTAGGGGCTGGGGGGGGGGGGGGGGAGCTGCAGTACAGAAGATTCTTCACCTTAATGAATAGACCATATTAATGTAAAAAAAATCTTCTGTGCTGCAGCTCCCCTCAGCCCCCCTTTTTTCCCGATCCGATCCAGCGATGTGTACAAGAGCAGCAGCTCTAGCCGTTGTCTCCCTCCTCATTGGGCAGACTGATATTGAATGCTTTGACATGGGAGTGGGGCCGAGCCCCCCTTCTGTGTCAATGGATGCAGACAGGGCTACTCGGGAGCGAGCCAGCACGGATGCCCCCCATAAAAAAAGCAGCTTTCCGTGGGAGCACCCACCAAAGAAGAGGGGCTAGGAGCGCCAGCGGGGGACCCCAGAAGTGAAATATCAGAGCTGCTCTATGCAAAAGCATTGCACAGAGCAGATAAGTATAGACAGGTTTGTTAATTTTATTAAAAAAAAAACCTCAAAGGTTTAATATCACTTTAAGTCACTAACAGGGCACATCTGTGACTAACAGAAAATGTTTAATATGGGCACAAGAGCCTGTAAATGGATAAAAGGAAGAACATGGATAACAAATGCCACTTAGAAAACTTATTGTTGTTTTGTGCCATCCATTTTAACCCCTTGCCCTCCAGAGAATTTACCCCCCTTCCCGACCAGGCCATTTTTTGTGTTACGGCGCTGCGTTACTAACCGACAATTGCGCATGCCATGCAATGCTAAACCCAAATGAAATGTACGTCCCTTTTTTTCTCACAAATAGAGCTTTCTTTTGGTGGTATTTGATCGCCTGTGTAGTTTATTTTTTGCACTATAAAGAAAAGAAAAAAAAAAAAGACCGGCAATTTTGTAGGGAAATAAAAAGTATTTTTGATTTTTTGCGATTAAACATGTCCAGTAAAATTTTTTTTAAAAAAATCTAAATTTCGTAATACATTTAGGCCAAAATGTATTCTGCGACATGTCTTTGCTGAAAAAAAAAAAAAAAAATCCCAATATTTGTAAATTAATTGGTTTATGTGAAAGTTATAGCGTTTACAAAAATGGCGGTATATATACTGGGCTTTTCTTCTTTTTTTAATGGCGACTTATAGCAGGACTGTGGTGGGCATTCTGACACTGGGGGGAACTGACTTGGAGTCACCAATATCCCCAGTGACACCAATACAGTGATCAGTGCTATAAAAAAAAAAAAAAAAAAAAAAAAAAAAAAAAAGCACTGACACTGTACTAATGGCACTGGGCAGGAAGGGGTTAAAATGTGGGGAGATCCAAGGGTTAACAGTGTGCTGTTTTACTAGGGGCTGTGTGTATGTGCTATACTGTAAGCACACAGCTTTTCATGCAAAGCAGTGTGCAGGAGCTGACAGAGGAGAAAACTGTTTTGCTTACCAACAGTTCTCTCCCCCCCGTCGCAGATCCTTGGGAATCACCGAGTGCTGGCAAGTTATCACCAGCTGAGACACAGTGATTGACAGCCGCAAACGGCGGAGCGGGTAGGGCGTGCGCCCCCTACCCGGAAATGCAAGATCACATACACACATACATATATATATATATATATATATATACACATATATACACACACATACAATACACACACACATACAACACACACACACACACACATACATACAGTGGGGATCGAAAGTTTGGGCACCCCAGCTAAGGAAAGATGGAAAAATCTCCAAAAGGCATCAAATTACAGATTAGACATTCTTATAATATGTCAACAAAAGTTAGATTTTATTTCCATCATTTACACTTTCAAAATAACAGAAAACAAAAAAATGGCGTCTGCAAAAGTTTGGGCACCCTGCAGAATTTATAGCATGCACTGCCCCTTTGCAAAGCTGAGACCTGCCAGTGTCATGGATTGTTCTCAATCATTGTCTGGGAAGCCCAGGTGATGTCAAGCTCAAAGGTTTTAAATGCCCAGACTCATCTGACCTTGCCCCAACAATCAGCACCATGGGTTCTTCTAAGCAGTTGTCTAGAAAACTGAAACTGAAAATAGTTGACGCTCACAAAGCTGGAGAAGGCTATAAGAAGATAGCAAAGCGTTTTCAGATGTCAATATCCTCTGTTCGGAATGTAATTAAGAAATGGCAGTCATCAGGAACAGTGGACGTTAAAGCAAGATCTGGAAGACCAAGAAAAATATCAGACAGAACAGCCCGCAGGATTGTGAGAAAAACAATTCAAAACCCACGTTTGACTGCACGATCCCTCCAGAAAGATCTGGCAGACACTGGAGTTGTGGTACACTATTCCACTATAAAGAGATACTTGTACAAATATGGTCTTCATGTTAGAGTCATCAGAAGAAAACCTCTTCTACGTCCTCACCACAAAAATCATCGTTTGAACTTTGCAAATGAACATATAGACAAGCCTGATGCATTTTGGAAACAAGTTCTGTGGACCGATGAGGCTAAAATTGAACTTTTTGGCCGGAATGAGCAAAGGTACGTTTGGAGAAGAAGTACAGAATTTAATGAAAAGAACCTCTGTCCAACTGTTAAGCATGGGGTTGGATCAATCATGCTTTGGGGTTGTGTTGCAGCCAGTGGCACAGGGAACATCTCACAAGTAGAAGGAAAAATGGATTCAATAAAATTTCAGCAAATTTTGGATGGTAACATGATGCCATCTGTGAAAAAGCTGAAGTTAAAGAGAGGATGGCTTCTACAAATGGATAATGATCCTAAACACACCTCAAAATCCACAAGGGATTACATCAAGAGGCGTAAACTGAAGGTTTTGCCATGGCCTTCACAATCTCCTGACCTCAACATAATTGAAAATCTATGGATAGACCTTAAAAGAGCAGTGCGTGACAGACAGCCCAGAAATCTCAAAGAACTGGAAGACTTTTGTAAGGAAGAATGGGCAAAGATACCTCAAACAAGAATTGAAAGACTCTTGGCTGACTACAAAAAGCGTTTACAAGCTGCGATACTTGCCAAAGGGGGCAAGATATTAACTCTGCAGGGTGCCCAAACTTTTGCAAATGCCATTTTTTTGTTTTCGGTTATTTTGAAAGTGTAAATGATGGAAATAAAATCTAACTTTTGTTGACATATTATAAGAATGTCTAATCTGTAATTTGATGGCTTTTGGAGATTTTTCCATCTTTCCTTGGCTTCTTTATGCACATTAATACAAATTTTTACCTGGGGTGCCCAAACTTTCGATCCCCACTGTACATATACATATACACACCCACACGATTTTGTGCACTGCTGCCACCTGTAGCAGTGTTTCTGCTATGGGGCGGCACTAAAGCAGTTAATATTAAATGTTAAAATATCCTTTGCTTCATTTCACATCTAAAAAATATGCGCAGAGCTGTTAAGAGTTTGTACCAACAGACTGTGAGCTTGTGAATCAGTTTGAGAAACTTTTGAGATCACTTACAATTCACTACGAGGTGCAATTAACCTCCTTCTGACCTACTTCAAGCAGGTTATGCATTCCCATAGCCTCGTATGGGAATGCAAAACCTGCTTGACACAAAAAAAAGCCCATCGACGTAAGCCTTTCAATTGGTTACCACTGAACCTGCCAAACTGCCCATTATAAAGATTAACATACAGTATTACTCAAGCAAACATCACTGTAAAGGGTATGTATACATAGGTTTTACTTACCTACACAGTTGCCGACCCAAGGACAATGATGGTCAAATTTTGCTATACAGCGATTACAAATGCCGCAATGCTTAGACCTCACTGGCTTCCTTATCTATGAGCCAATGAAAGAGCAAATCAATACAGTGAAAACTTACGTTATCGAAATGCAGCATATAAATTGATTTTTTGTTGCATTACATGGTATATATTACATAAGATGCAACAGGGACAAGACCACTTGTCACAACTGACACTTCCCTTTTATTCTCTGCATATCAGTTTACAAAATGACATACTTCTAATGAACTCTGAATTACAGTGATCATGTTCAAGCTGGCATGCTGTATCAAGATGATTCCCCTCTGGTCACAGCCTGGTCTACCAGCACAATTCTAACTACATTACATATACATAACATACTTGAAGAACAAAAGAATAATTCAGGACCTTTACTTGCTATTAACATACTTATCTAAGCGACAAGGTTCCAGTGATCTTACCCATGTGGTCACTGTTCAGCCTCTTCAGAATTTCCCAGTTAGTGGGGCCCCAGAATATGTGAGCTGTGCCCTTGATTCATTTCAATGGAAGGAACATCAACAGGTTCACAGCCTGCGGCTAAACTTTTTTTGGGATATACAAGGGGGGCACCCCACTCTGTCTGCCTGGGAAGGTTTTAAAAGAAGCTGTGTGGTGCCAAGCAGACTTCACAGCAAATGAGTAAATATTTGGCGCTGGAGGGGTATAATGGATCTGCTAAAAAGTCCAACCTCTACAAAGCCGTTGGGAGGACGGGGAGAGTCTAAGTGTCAGACTGGTAGTTGCAGCGGATCTCCTGAAGCGGCTGGCAGTCATGGGAAACCAGCCTGCAACGCAAAGGGCGCCAGGCAGACGTGACGTCCACGTTGGAGTGTGATGATGTAAATGGGTGGTAACACATTTCAAAGCGGAGCTTCTTCCCGATGTCACGTCCACCCCGGCGCCATTTACATTCCAGGCTGGTTTCCCATGGCGGCCGGCCGCCTCAGGAGATCCGCTCCAACCACCAGTCTGACACTGGGACTCTCCCCGTCCTCCAACAGCTCCCAGGATCTCTTCGGACCACGTCACGGGTGACATACCTATATTATTTATACTTCTAGTGAGTTGCCATTTGTCTTTTATGCAATAAATAACTACTATTCATGCTGCACTTAGTCTGGCGCCCCTCTCTTCTCTTTCACAGCAAAGTAGACTGTAGCCTTGTGGTTTATGTAAATGTCAGCTATTCGCAAATGGTCAGCTTGGGAAGGGAAGTGAGCTAAAACAAACCTAACATCCAATAACGCAAAAATATTGCAGTTTTCAAAGTGCTACAGAACCAGTGCGGTTGCTTTCTACTTGAACTATGAACATGTAGTATAACCAAACCCTGTTTTTAATACAATAAATGATAGCATATTATGGTGAATGCCAAATGTACAGAGGATTAATGTAGAGTACTACCTGTCAGAAACCCCACTCTGGGTCAGATACCCTACAACCTCCCCCAACTAGCTTGGAAACACTTTTTTTTTTTTTTCTTACTGGTTCTTCTATTGCTGCTTTTTCTGTTCGGATATTAAGTGGCATCGCATTGTTTTTGGCACAAAAAAAAAAAAAAACCTGTAAAAACTATTAGAATGGGTATACATCATAAAATTGATCACCAAGCTATAAAACAACTAGACAAGGATGTGTTAATTTTATGTTGCTTTTTGCTCATGTCATAACATAGGCATGGCCAATATTAACCATGATCAGGAAACTTACCAAACAAGTACTGCAGAATATGCTTAGATCCAAGCTGCCAGTTTCAGCAAGCTCTACTATTGTCTAGGAAAAGAGTGCAGCACATTAATTCATCAGAAACATTACACAACAGTGACATGTAAAAACAGAAAAGATTTCCATCTTAATTTATCAGCAGGTACGTCACTCTAAAGATTACAGAAGAATATTATGTTGCAACATGAAGAAGGGGACAAAAGAACAGATATAAAAATTTTCCTATACTGAAAATAAAAAACCCCAAGATCACATGACCAATGCCTAGATACCTGGTCATGTATTGGTCTACCATTGGTACCATTGGAGCCTGTGAATCAACTGAAGGACAAAAAAAAACAAAAAACACCACGCAAAAAAAAACCCCAAAACACCTTTTATAAAATATGCTTGTCAAACAGTTCACTGTTTTTGCCATGAATTTTAAATGGTTTATAACTATGTCCAGACAGTTCAAACCCCTTTAGTTCAGCATACTGCAGAATTTAACCACTTCACCTATTATATCTGTACACCCTGGACCAAAGCATTTTTTACATTTCTGCTATGAACCTACTTGCTTTAGCAATAACTTAAAATTTTTTTAAAGAGAAACAAGGCTTTTACATGTTATTGCCTTTTTTTTTTTTTTATGCAATCCAAAAAAATAAACCCACACACTTTCTACTTGAAGCAGAAAGTTTAAAAAAAAAGTCTTCCTGTGGATAAAGTATGAATGTTTTTCATTTATATGTCCCATTTAAAGTGACACAGAAATTATGACTCTGGCACAAATAATTGCATAGTAATATACAAATAAAATAAGTTTTTTTTTTTTCTGTCAATTTTGAAATTTTTCAAAGCAGCACTGAAAAAAACCCAACCCCCCCAAAAAAAAAACACACACAATGATTTTCTTAAAAAAAGCTTAAATATTAAATAAGAAAAATGGATGTACAAAAATAGGAAAAAAATCGTTAAGGGCTGAGGAATAGAAGAAGTTAAACTAAAAACCTAAACTAATTTTAGTTAATAGGGGTTAAAACAGCAACATATTTTATTACACACAAAAAAAAAAATACAAAAACAGAAATACATAATATATGTCACATTACTTTATCATATGCAGATCTAAGCTCAACCCTTTCATCAGAAGATGAATGAAAGAGTAGATATACAAAGTAACAATGTTGCGTTCCTTTTTATATCTTTCTAGCTCAGGTCTCAGTGCTCATAAACATGGGTCAGCTGTACGGCTACTTTCACAATGATCCGTAGCAAAAAAAAAAAAAAAAAAGCTCTAAAAATGCATGTGTTTTTGCCACATTTGCAATGTGTTTTACAAAAGTCATAGGACTCAAAAACTGCATCAAAAACAGAATGCGTGTGTGTTTTTATGTATTTTTTCACAGCGTTTTCAAAGCATTTCAATGGGGAGGTGCGTTTTTTAATTCTTTTTTTTAATCACATCACAAATGAAGCAAGCAGGATTTTACTAATCGCAGTGGACCCACAACGGATCAGCGTGAAGAGTTCCATAGGATTACACAGTCCTGCATTTTGCTTCGGCTTTGTTTGACGCAAGAGCGGAAGAAGAACCAATCCGTGTGAAAACAGCCTTACGGATGTATTTCTACAGCAACCCTAAACTGTTGTGCCAGGGACGAAGTGGCAGCCATGCAGAAGGACAGGATGTACTAAACACGTCCTGTGTATTTTGATGAAATTTGTAGCGTGTCCAGTGTCAATAAATAGCAAAAATACTAAGAATCATGAAATAAAAAATAAAACTTTTTTTCATAATTTTATGCAGCTTCCTGGCTGCAGTGGGCATCGATTACTGAATATCGCATACATCAGAGAGAAACAGTAATAATATAGCTGACAGCAAACATTCAACATTTCATATGGAGATATGTATTTAAACACAACTACCATATTACCTTTTTCTTTTGTTCTTCTGTGGCTTTGATGATTCCAGGATCAGATTTCCAAGATTTGCCAAAATTGTAGAACAAGGCCACACTATTAGCCAGGAAGGGAAGATGGATGTACACAAAGTTTAAATGTACATTAAGAATTAAGGAAATGTGGGAAAACATGAAAGGCAAAAATAAACACTTCAATGACCAAGGAAATTTTGTCAGCTTGGCATGTGTAGTCATTTACATCCTACAAGCATTGTAAAATAAACGTGCACTGAAGGCCCAAATATACTGCCTACTAAATGCTTTAATATTGTACTGTCAGGAATCAGAACAGGATAAACACACTTTTACACTTAGATGCTACTATTCATCATATGACAAAAAGTATTCAAAAAACAAAACCAGCTCAATGACGATTTTCCAGTCATGAGACGGTCACAAGCATCCTAAGGAAACCACAATATTTTATGTTTTTAGGAGACAAAAGAATTATAAGATACATGTGTTGGACAATGTCTTTATAATTCACAATACCTTTTATTGGCAAATATTATTATTAATTTACAGGATTTATATAGCGCCAACAGTTTGCTCAGAGCTTTACAATATAATGGGAGACAATACAGTTCAATATAAGAGGGTTAGGAGGGCCCTGCTCCTTGGAGCTTACAATCTAAGAGGGAGGGGCTAGTGGTACAAAAGGTAGTAACTGTGGGGGATGGACTGGTAGGAGGAGTAGAAAATTCCATTATTAGCTGAGGGCAGGATAGGCTTCCCTGAAGAGATAGGTTTTCAGAGATCGCCTAAAAGTGAGCAGAGTAGGAGTTAGTCTGATAAATTGGGGTAAAGAGTTCCAGAGGATGGGGGAAGCTCTGGAGAAGTCCTGGAGACGAGCATGGGAGGAGGAGACAAGGGAGATAGAGAGCAGGAGGTCCTGCGAGGAGCGGAGAGTACGGTTTGGGTGATATTTGGAGACAAGATTGGTGATGTAATTTGGGGTCAGAGTTATAAATGGCTTTATATGTTATTGTTAATGTTTTGAATTTTATCCATTGGGGAACGGGAAGCCAGTGGAGGGATTGGCAGAGAGGGGTGGCAAATACAGAACGGTTAGTAAGGTGGATGAGTCTGGCAGCAGCATTCATGATAGACTGAAGAGGGGATAGCATGCGATGAGGTAGGCCAATGAGGAGGGAGTTACAATAATGAAGGCGAGATATAACAAGGGAGTGAAAAAGTTGCTTAAATATAAAACAGCCTGCAGAAATGTGGCCATGAGTTAGTTCTAGTGTTATCAGGGTATTTGGGCCCTATTAAAGCAGTAGTAAAGTCAGAATTTTCACTGGTAACTACAGACTGTCAGATGTCACAGGGCCCTGGACAGCCTAACTGAAAGGCACATGTGATATTGGGAGAGAGAGGGGGGTAGGGGGCAGTAAAATCCCACAGTTGAGCTGCACTGTGTACTGAGGTACAGTACAGTGTTCAAACCGTTACACTGATATCACAGCCGCTATGTGTAGTCAGGCCTGGAGGGTTGGCCAGGATATCAGGACTTCGTTCACCTTTTTAAAGTTTGTGAAAAGATAAATTTACCATTTACGTGAATTTATGTATGCCAACAATGTTCACAATAAAAGGCTATAGATACAAAGCTGTAAAGAAAGTATTTTTTTTAACCAAACTGGAAAACATACAATTAACTGAAAGCAATATAAAATTGGACAGCGTTGCTCCATGTCACATAATATATTAAAAAAAATTTGAAAAAATTTAAAAAAAATTAGTAGAAACAGGACAATCCTCATTTTGCTCATTACTGCGTCTCTTTACAAAAGAGAAAAAATAAATAAAGCACTGGCATGATTAAGGCCTCTCCACAGGACTTAGTTCCTACTAAAGATACCATTATTTCCGAATGAAGCAGATGAAAGACCACCCTGGTGCTAATGATGGCGAGCACAGTTCTAACAAGGTGTTTATTTCTCCAGTACTTCTAGACTACATATTCATCAGTCAGATAAGTTATGTCAATATTTCCTGAATAATGCATGACGGAGTTACTGCACATTGACTAGACTTCATAACAGCTTTCAATTAACAAGAGCAACAAAATATCTTACACTGGCAATGAAACACACGGTGGTATTTCTGTCTCAAATATATTAACTCTTTCTGTGTAGAACGCCGGCCTTAACAAAATGACAGACTACAACTTGAGTCAGAACTAAAATTAGATGAGAGGTGACACTCTAAAATCCATCACATCTCGGTAGTAAAAGAAAAATGTGCACACAAAGTCAAGTTTGTTTGCGGGCGTGTATGTGTAATTCTATATATTTTATGTGTTTTTATACATGCCTTGATCAGAGGAACAGAAAATTGTGTTTAGTATTGCCATTTAGCCCCATTAAAAAAGCTCCTGTAAGTGTCTCAGGTTTAAAATTTGACAAATATCAGTCATCACACACCTAATTATTACACAGGTGCTGCATTAAAGTTCATCCGACAAAAGGTATCATCACGCCACTGTCATAATGATGCCATTGGAAACAGGATTGACTAGACATTTTTCAAGGTCAACAGCCCGATGCCGATGCTCTCTAGCCCAATACAAATGGTTTTGGCAATTACCATAGATGAGAGAGGGAACAGCATGATTGTTCACAATTGTGCCCCATTGATCCAAAAGTCTGTCATCCAACATGCCATACTTACCTCCTCTGTGCAATGGGTTTGCACACAACAGACCCCTTCTTTTTCTTTTCATGTCCCCCACTGGCGCTTCTGTCTCCACCCCGTTGACCAGTGCCCCCAATAGCAAACCACGTGCTATGGGGGCACTGGTGTGTGCTCACTCCTGAGCCCGTCTCTAAGCGTCCATAAGACACAGAGCTGCACCCCCCCCACCCTCTCCTCATTGGTTTACTGGCTGTCTGTGATTTCAATGTGTCAACCAAAGGATGTAGGGCAGAGAAGAATAAATTCTTTCGAGAAGAGGAGATTAAGAGGGGATATGATCAACACGTATAAATACATCAGTGGTTCTTATAGTGAACTCGGTGTAGTTATTCACCCTGAGATCATCACAGAGGACAAGGAGGCACTCTAAGTCTGGAGGAAATGAAATTTATTCTCCAAACATGGAAAGGTTTCTTCACAGTAAAAGCTGTGAAAATGTGGAATAGACTCCCTCAAGAGTTGGTTCTGGCCAGTTCAGTGGATTGCTTCAAAAAAGGCCGGGATTCTTTCTTAGATACACAGAATATAACTGGAAACTAACATTTATAGGTAAAGTTGATCCAGGGAATATCCGATTGCCTCTCGGGCAATTTTTTCCCCTGCAGGAGCAAATTGGATCATGCTTTGCTGGGTTTTTTTTGGTATAGGATTATAACTTTTTTTTTTTTATGGTTTAACTGGATAAACGTTTGTCTTTTTTCAGCCAGACTATGTAATACTATGTAAAGTGCCTCCCACTGATCAAATTTTACCATGCATGACCAGAGTTATGTTCTGCTTCAGTCATTTTACACCTCTTGTAACCTTCAATCGAACTGATCTTCAGCACTGGCTATACTCACACCAACCATGCTTTGATTTCAGGGGTTTAAGGCCTCATGTACACAGGACGTTTTGAAAAATCTCCTAGATTTTCCTCCTGGCAGCAGCATTTTTACAGGAAAAAAAAACACCTGATGCTTTTAAAAGCATCTAAAGCTTTTGCAAGTGTTTAGGTGCGTTTTTAGACATCAAGCGATTGGGCATTCATTTGCCAGAATAATTAATTTATTCTGGCCACTGTAATGATGCTCATGGATGCACTGGCAGTGGGTTTTTTTTCCTGCTGCTAAAAGTCTGTGTGTGCATGGACATAAAAAAGGGGTGCTGATAGGTATTGAGCCTTACCCAGAAAAAAATCGAATGTAAATTGCAGGGTATACTGGCCAATTTGCCTATGTTCAATGGTGAAAAAATCAACTACCTATGATTTTAACTTCTCTTTCTTTTTCAGGTCCAAAGTGAACATGGCAATTTTCTGCAGTGAACCTTCAGAAAATTGAAAATGTCAAAGTGAAAGAGCATATCACCATAATCAAGTTCCTGTTTCTCCAAGGGAAAGGTGCGAAGCAGATCCATGAAGAAATGTCACAATTTTTGGATGACAGTGGCCCTTCATATGCAACAGTTAAACGTTGGGTTGTCAATTTTAAAACTGGCCATTTGGGTGTTGAAATTGAGAAACCCAGTGGAAGGCTTGTTTCTGTCTCTGTGCCTGCAAATGTGAAAGCTATCCATGACATGATCATGGAGGGCCCCCGAATATCAGCCAAAAGTATTGCTACATATCTGGGAATATCACGTGAAAGAGTTGGTGCCATTATCCACAACGGCTTGGAAATGAGAAAGCTTGCAGCAAAGTGGATCCCAAAACTTTTGACAACTGATCAAAAAAAAGAGGAAATGTGTGGAGACGTAAGTGGTTGTTTTGGAGCTTTTTGCAAGAAATAAGTCAGGATATCCTGGACAAACTGGTAACTGGTGATAAGACATGGATCTACTGTTATGATCCTGCCACAAAAGGAACAGTCTAAGGAATGGAGGTACAGTGGTTCCCCCAGGCCAAAGAAATGAGTTCTGCTGCTGGACTACCTCCAAAAGGTTCAACCATCAATGCAACATATTTCTGTGCTTTACTGAGGAAGGTGAGGCAAAACAAAGGAAAAACATTGAGGAGAGCTCTCCAAAGGTGTCATCCTGTTGCATGACAATGCCTCATTACACACTGCAGGTGAAACAATGGCAAAACTGATGTCCTTAGGCTTTCAAGTGATGCCCCATCCATCCTATTCGCCCGACCTGGCTCCTTCTGACTATCATCTGTTCCCCAATCTCAAAACACACCTAAAGGGACAACCACCTAAAGGGACAATGATTTGGGAGTGTTCCGGAGGCAACTAAGTGGAAGTCAGCAGTCGGAAGAATTTTATTTGCAGGGACTTAAGAAGCTGCAGGACCATTGTCACAAGTGCATTGACTTCCTGGGGGAATATGTAGAATAGTGTGGCAGTTACAGCTTCCTAGCTCAATTTTTTCTGGGTAAAGCTTAGTATTTATCAGCACCCCCCATAGGCTAACA